GCACAGCAAAGATCTTTAGTCCTGACCAGCAGCCATTGCAGATACGGTCTTGGCATCAATGCAATCAGGCTGCGTGCAATCCAGGCAGCATTAATTGCAGATCAGGGAGCAGTTAGCACTATAAAAGTGAGATTGGCTACCATCGATCGAGTCTTTACACAAAACCACGTGGGATTAAAGCAGCTGTACAGAGTCCCGCTCCCATGACACTGAAGAGGCAAGACGAAAAGTATGCAAAGGTAAGGATCTGGTATTGTAATGCATGTTTCCTTAGAGAACAATGGAGCTTGATGCTAGGAGACTATGCCACACACCAACTACTGGCCCATACAATACAGAACACCTTTCATGCATCACATATTTTTGATGCACTGACTCTAAGAAACCCAAAGACAAAAGACTGTTGAGGCCCGGTATGATTCTGTATGTCATCATTTGGAGAAATGGCTCCTTCCTCCTGATATATAAATGGTTTGCAGCACAGTCCAGTGTCATGATCAAGCGGCAAACTCTGGGGAAGAGCCGGGACGCCAATACGGAAGTGCCACAAACTGCAGTTCATATATTGGCCGATAGGCGATGACTGCAGAAAGGAGCAATTTCCATAGACCCCCATGTTAGTGGCCGACTCCGCCTACTAAGGGCTTCTCGGCAATATACAGCCTATGGTCATGATGTAATTCCTCAATGCATCCTCTCCTTTTCTGAACCCAATTTAGAAATTCTTCTGCTTGGAGATGGAAGGTATTAGATCACCGGCCATATGCCCAAATGGATGCTGGTTGCCTGGCAATAGCTGCAGTGGACAGCCAAGGAAGGATGCACCATTTAAGGAGTTTGTTCCCTCTGTGCTTTGAGACGTCAAGTAAGAAGAACTCATTATGAATTTGTGGTCATGGCTTATAAATGACAGGTTTAGGTGTGGTTAGAGTAAGGCATTGCGATCTAAAATTAAACTAAAAGTCAAATTAAGCTTCTGAAGTTTGTTTTTGCTGCAGAAAAGTAACAAACCTTTTAGCTATGTCTTCAGTGGCTGTGAGGTGTCTTGTGAGCAGGTGCACGTCATTAGAACTAATTAGGGCCTGGCGTAGAAATAGAACATATTACGCGGGAAGTGCATTCTGTACACTTCATACATCAAATGAATGGCCCAGTATGGACTTTAATCCAAGCAGTGCTGCGATGTTGATTTTGATAGTCTGAATGATTTTAAGCAATGGTGCTGCATTCGAGTAAATAACCAATATATGAAGGATAAAGCCAATCATTTGTTTTGACAGTCACTTAAAAGTTACTGGGTGGTTTTACACCTGATTTATGAAAGCTATAGCAAACTTGCAGAGAAGTTACAATAGTTAGCTAAATATTGAAAGTAGTTACTATGGATACAACTAATCAGTAAGCTAAAAGTTATGCATAAACAACTAAAAATAGCTAGCTAAAACTAATGGATAAGCAGCTAAAATAGTTGGAGAAACGTGTAGGAGAAAAAGCTAAACATGTTAGCAAACAGTATTAAATGAACTGTTAAGAAATTAATGGATTAATAATGTTGATAAACAGCTAATATAGTTAGCAAAAAAGAAAAGATGTATTATGGTATTCTACCTGATGAATTTACACATGATTTTGTGTTATCTTGACTAAGCATCTGGTCATTTCAGTCAGGAAAGTAGCCTCTTGGGTAAATAAAAACTGAATTGGCAGTGACTTTAATCGCTTGTTCTTTCCACCTTGTGAAATGTAACGACTGGTAATAAACACTGTGAGCAATTAGCAAATGCAAGATGGCTGCTGTGAAATCCATTTTTTTGTTGTGTATTCATGTGCAACGTCTCAGGTTAAAAGCTCTCATGTGACAGGCACAAAATGTTTGCATTTTCCTCCATGCTGTTTTGACAAAGCATTTCGTGTTGACAAGTTGGAGGAAAATGTCAAACAAGTGCAAAGGAAATGTCTGAGGTTTTTTTTCCCCCCGACTCTGTCTATAAATTCATGCATTCCATCTCGGCAAAGCCAGCTTGAAATAGCCTTGTTTTCATATTTAAAGCTGTGTTGTCTGTCAACAGCATGCAGCCAAACAAACACTCTCTCACGCATCTGCTGAGGATTTCTCAGGCCTCGCAAACAGCAAGATAGAGTAGATGGAGGCTTAAGCCTGGCTCACATTATCAGAGAAGAAAGAGATGGAAAACACGGTAGGAGACACAGTAGATGGGGTGAGAAAGTGAAAGGAAAAACTAATGGAAAACGGGGAAAAAACGGCACATTTAGGTGTCACGACAAGTGAGATTATACGTCATTTTCAGCCTTCTATCTCCACTCTGTCTTTAAACTACCCCTCCTAGAAAGCAGTCATCTTCTCCTCCTTTCCCCCCCCCGTCTCCTCAGGCAGGGTCCCAGTGGTTTGTGTTCTGAAGCGCAAAATTGCATGTGAGATGTGGGTCAGGTAAGGAGTGAGATGGATGTGGCTTTAAAAGAGATTAATTACATCCCATATGAGGCAATGAACTTCCTATGTGTCCTCCAGATTGCTTCAGACCACTGTTAATGACTTAAAAAGTCCATGTCTAGTCTACTAACAGGATCTAAGACCAAACACATGAGCAAAAGTAACTGAATTCTATATTGCAGATGGAATGAATGAGATGTGACCGAACCCGATAAATCCATGTTTGAGAAGTCTTAGCGCAGTGGGTTGTAGGAAGTTGATCAAAGTAAATGATCCAAGGCTGACTTCAACAATGGATTTCAAATATAATGTAGGAAAAGTTCTATACTCTGGGAAATTCAATTAGATGAAGACGGATTCAACTTTTCAACTGTGGGGGGCTGATGTAGCTTTAGGCTTTGGCAGCTTCACTAATCTCTAATTAAGACTACAAGGATTTAATATCCTTCCATCACATTGTCAGGAAGTTGAATGCAAATTGGAAATGTCTAGTTTGGGAATAAATATGAAAGGATGCAATTACGACTCGTGTATTTTTAAGAATGTTACAAAAAATACACATATATCTGTGTTAAGAAGGACAATAAGTACCCAAAGAAATCACATATTGGTGTGATGCTAATGTTTAGTCTTATGATATGATCATATATAGCAATTAATAACTGGTAAGCTGCCAGCTAAACACTACATTCACAGTAGCTACACACTTCCCATCCACACTTAAGTAGCTGTAACAGATACAGCTAAAAGACATGGATAAACTGCCAAAATAGCTAAAGTTGATGGATAAGAGCTAAAATAGTTAGCTAAACATGTTGGACAAATGCTTAAATAGATACCTAATAGTAATTGATGAACAGTTGAGATATATAACTAAGGGTCATGGGTAAACAGCAACAGCAACAGTAAGCTAAAAGTCAGTGATAAACACCTAAAATAGGCAACTAAATGTAATGGTCGAACAGTTAAAACAATTAAATTAGTAAGCTTAATGTCACAGATAAAGAGCTAAAATAGTTGGCTAAAAGCCCTGGATAGACAAGTTGAAATACAATCGATAAATGGCATCAGTGGTAATAGCAAACCTTAATGTAGTGTTACTTAACATCCACTTTAAAAACACCTGAAATCAACTCATTTGGAACATAACTGATGAAGGGGAAATGTCTTAAAAGTTAATTGCCTAAAAGGTTGGGAACCAGTGCACTATACGACGCTGTAAACTGATGCCTGGGTGGCATATTGAGAGAGTGAGAGAGCTGTTTGCAAGCAGAAGAAAAGAATATGAGCATCACCTGAAATACATCACACAGACTAACTCACAGAGACTCTGCATAAGCTTTAAGACAGATACATGAGTCATATACTTCCTCGGCTATGCTAAGTTATAAAAAGAAGAAGACTACACAGTGAGCTACCTTCATATTTTACCTGCTCACTGATTTCAACACTCTTAATATTCACAAGCCCATCAGGTATTAATGAGACTCTGATGCAAATATTCCTCCCAAGCTTGCAGCTGGTCATAAATATGAGCCTGCTGCTTTGGGAGGAAGGTGAGGTGGAGCTCCTTGCCTCCAGAGATGGTCCCAGAGCGTTAGGAGTTAATTTATTGCTCTCCTATTCACATCCTGCCTGGCTGTCACACTCATCTCTGTCTGTGCTGGTGGTGCCCCTGCCTCCTATCCTGATGTATGCTTCCTATTTAAATCCCATCTATCTGTTATGGATGACAGAAAATAATTCATGCTGCTGAAACGCTGTCATCCACAAGGACATGTTTCCCATGGCAGATATCCATATTACGGTTTTTATCTGGCGCATAGTTGTTTCGCAGCGGGGTTAACTTTGTGCTGACGGACACGCTGCAAATGAGATGTGAGCCATGCGGAGTGTGATTGCCAATAAAACACCGAGTGACAAGTACGTAATTAATGCAGCCATGCAGAGGTGGGCGCAGCGGGACGCACGGCACATTATTCTGCTCCACTGCCATTGATTTGTGTTGCAGAGATGTCATTTCACAACAAATTTGAATGTTCAGTTTCAGAGGCAGCCGGCTTCTAAAATCGACTGGTGCATTCATCAAATGTTTGAAACGCAACGACGGGACAGAGATTAATAGCTTCCGCGCTTTTGATCGCTGAGCGGCGTCAAGTTTGACCTTTGAGGCGCGAGTCGACAAGTAAATGCAATGCTTCCTGGGAAAAAACCTGTGACTGCTGACTGATAGGCCTACTATGTCTGAAGACGAAACAGTTTACCTGATTGTGAAAAGATCTGTGAATTTAAAATAAAAGATAATCAATGAATGTGGTTTTCAATGTTTCTTTGGGAGGTTGGCTTACTGTATGTCTTGAATTTTTTAATATATTTTATATTTTTCAATTATTTTAGCATTATTTAATCGCGTTGGACAGTTACATCCATCGTAAACACTTCAGGCCCAGTTAAAGCCAAACCCCTCGACCCTCCTTCAGTGGCTGCATCATCTCCAGGAGGAAGAGGAGGATGTTCAACCTGCTCTCATTGAGCCCCTTCCTCTCACCTTGGTATAACTGCGCCTGCACAGATGGCAGATTGCACAGCGCCAATTTATTCCACAGCTATGTTCTGCGTCCTCTGTGCCTCAAAGCCCGGGTCACGAGGAGGTTGAGCTGAATCAAAGGCAGAGGAGAACATATTTAGGGCAGAAGAACATGCATAGGAATATGAATATGTATCAGCGGCGGATTATGCAGCATTAAGGAACACCCTCCAGCCGTAGCATCATCTAACTAGACTGTAATGCCACAGCGAGGTCTATCTGTGCAGTAATGGGGTTGTGTTTCTACTCCAGGCTCCAAAGGCCCGCCTTCCAACGCTTTGTTTAGAAATGTGAGTGTTCCCAATTGTCTCGCGCTCCGCCTCGCTCGTTACGGGGTTCATTTACCACAAGCCCCGGAATAATCACTCGCTTTTGATTTTCCCCAAGCTTTAGCCTTTTTAAACGCTCCACCACTGGCTTGTTTGGCCAATTACAGAGCAGACTTTCTATTACTCAGCATATTGTATCAAACCGCATGTGCCATAGGGGGCGATCAGAAGGAATGCAAAACACAGCAGTGAGGATGAGAAGCTGTGAATAACAATTACTTCACATGCGTGCTACTGGGCAGGCTATTTTTGAAGTAAAGTCATTAACTGATAACATACTGGGGCTGCTCCCAGTTCTTCTCCACCCTGCACATTACACCTACAGAACAAATGCTGATAAACTGGAATAAATCGGGTGCAATTATACCCTAGTTTCCAAAGCTGTTCTCATAACAGATCAAAAGACGTATTTGACGTAAAGATGTCGTCCGGGAATAGTTTTATTATGAGGAAATCATAACGGCAATGATGTGTTTTCTGCCTACAAGCTCCCACAAGATTTCCCCGCTGAAGTGTTTGAGGGGCGAGCCACAAGTGCTTCCCACATTCTTATGTTTATCTTTGGAAGGGAAAGAACAGAAGACATTTTTTATTTCTGCAGCGACAAATCCCGCAGGAGTGTTGCTGCTCCCTCAGATCATCGTGATGCCTGGAACAAAGAGTTCAACAAATGTAATACACACACTCACACACACTTATATCTGTATAGGCATTAGAGGCTGGGACATAATTACAGTGCAGATTTGTCTCAAATGAGGAAAAACACAGATCAAGATAAAAAAAAATGACACTTTTTTGATTGTTTTCTTCTTGAAAGACCAAACCGCTCTTGATGATGAATGATTTCGGAGAAGAATGAGAGTTAATGACGTTAAGTTACATTTGATATTTATGTAATTATGAGAATTACAGGCATTTTTATACTCCAGTGAGTTTTTCTTCCCAGATATCTCTGCAGCTCCTCAAAACCTCATCAAATATTGTGCTTCCACCAATTTAAATATTGCACTAGTACATATTGCGGATTTCGATACAATTTGGATTCATTGTACAGCCCTAACAATATTAAACTTGTTGCTAAATAAATGTGAATTACCTTTCAAACACACTCTTTGTACCTTCCTTTCAGCAGATGAATGTTCAAACAGCCTTCTAGAGTCTTTGAAAACAAAAGTTTGAGCGCTATATCTGAGTATAGAAATCCACTCACCTGAGGTTATTCCTCCTATTAAGACATTATGGTAGAAAACAGCCACTCAGCTGCCAATTACACAGATGCTAGATTTGATTTAATCGCACATTTTACAATCTGCACTCCACTTACACACACCTGCAGGCAGGAGAGCACGGCCTCCATGTTTCCTCAGCACTCTTCACACCGAGCAGCTGCATTCAGGAACAGCAGGACTGACGAGACGCCACGTGTTCTTCAACAGCCGTACACCAAGCGCCTCTGAGCGTCATTTACTTTCCTTATATGCATGCAGCAGAATCCACATTGATGCTGTTTCTGTAATAAATACAACATCCAGTCTTATAAAAGCACTTTATTTGATCTCAAGTAATTGAAAAGAAGAAAAGCACTCATCTGTCCTCGCCGCTCTAACAGTACATCTTTATATTCAAGTAATAGAAAATAGAATAGTCTGCAGCCTGCTCAGCACTGCTTGTGACGAATAACTGCACATTACACATCAACAGAGTAACATTCACCTGGGGAATGCAAGCAGCCGAGTTTCTTCACACTGTCCGGAAACCTTTTCACAAGGTGGTGTGGATCTTCTGTAAGAAAATATGTCTGATTCTGAAAGGAATATTACATAGGAGCTGCTTTCTCAGAGTCTTTAACACCACTTTAAACTCACCACGGTCCTCACGATGTCGACAGCTGCTGTAGTGCCGACAGTACATCCAACATTAACACCTTCAGAAAGCACAACAACTGAAAATACATGAGAACATTCATAATTAGAGCCTGTGCTCTACACAACAGGCGAATGTCTGCGATCAAAGTTGGCATTTATGCAATTGGGGAAAGTTTGTATGAATGAGTAGTTCAACACAAGCCCACAAGCTTCCTGTTTCCCATAAACATCATAGTGCTGCTGGCAACGACAACTAACCACCTGGACATGTTTGCACTCTTCTTGATAAACATGTATCAGACTTACAAGAGTGGCTTTGAGCTATAGAAAGTCCTCGTAAAGCAATCAGCCCCCGGACAAAGCCCCGGACGCTCCATCAATACTCCTGCAGTCAGTGCTACATGTTGAAGTATTTGTCACAGTCGATGATGGAGGAGCAGGTGATAAAGGAACATTCATTTCCTCCCTGGCTCTCCCTCAGCCCTGCTAACACTTCAGGTGTTTCTTGCTGGTCATGTCGTTCCATATGCGGTGCATCTCCTCGGGGGAGATCTGGTGGACGGTGACCACCCGGCGGTAGCGGCACAGGCTGTAGGCCATCTTCCAGTGGTTGAAGCCGCTGTTCTGGAAGGGGTGGATGCCCAGCTTTCGGAGGCACACGCCCACGTATACGTCCTCCAGGTGCAGCAGCCTGGTGTGTAAAGAGGTTTGGTAAATGAGCTCCGCCACGTCAGCGGAGAACACGTATCCGGTGCCGGAGCAGAAGGGGGGGTACTTGCTGTCCGGGTACAGATCCCTGCCCATGTACCACTTGCTGCGCATGTCTCTGATCGGCCCGCCGTTGATGACGTAGCCGGTGAAGTACCTCCTCCTGGGCTTGGTGGTGGGCTTCAGGAGGTTGAAGACGAGGTTCTCCATGTTGACAAAGATGTCGCTGTCCGTCTTGAGGACATATTGAGCCTTGGAACAAAAGGTGGCCACCCAGCGCATGCCCATCAGCGTCTTTAGCGTCAGATTATGGTAGGAGTCGATAAAATCCTCCACCACAATGTCATGAAAGATCTGACTCTCCTGCTCCACCATCTGGTTGAGGACACCATCAGTGCTGCGTCCCAACAAGAAGAGCGTGACCACTCGCATGTCGGGGAGCGAGCTCTCGTCCCCCCATGTCTCCCTGATAGCCTGCCGGGCGTCAAACTCCTTGTGGGTGGTGCTGATCAGGATGACCAGGTAGGGCGGCTCCGCCTCGCACTTCTTCTCCTCGTTAATGAGGTAGTCGAAGTCGTGCGGGTTGAGCGAGCGCGTGCGGATGTTTGTGAAAGTGCCGTTTTTGCCCGCCTTGGGCTTTATAGGGATAGCCACCTGGCCCACGTAGGAGGTGGAGGGGCGGGACACACTCAGGTACCACAGAGCGCTGGCCCAGCAAACCACCGTCAGCAAGTATAAGCAGGAGACTTTAGAAGGCATCGCTGTTCACTGGGCTGGAGTCAGTGGCAGCAGCGATGGAAACGTTGAGGCCACGCCTCCATGAGTTGTCTCAGATCTGGCGGTGCAGCTTGAGGCTGCCTCCGCAACACGGCTGACATTAATCGTGGATAATGGACTTTTCTTCCGTCTAGTGTCGGGGCTGTGATTGAAAAGCAGCAGTGCAGAGATCTCTTATCACGTCCACAGCCTCACTGTGTCCCATCGCAGCTCGCACAAACGTTCTCCGTGACAGCGCCTAAAAAAAAGATAAGAAGACAAAACAGTCAGTGACATACATCATAACAACATTATAAAGCTGAAGCAGCTTGATAAGCATAACGGTGTAACTTCTAACATATCTTGTTGTTATGAAAAAGGCATTTATAGCAAGGCTTGTGACATATCGAACAATATTTTCTATTCGCTATTCATTACAGCCAATAACATCAGTCCACTGGCGGTGCAGGCGGCTCTGTGCCACGGCCAGTTACCCTATCGTTCCATCAGGGCCTATGATACGAGCTGTGAAGAAAGTGAATATCCCGGCAAACTCTCTCATTCATAAAGGCCTGCTCAGCCTCAGCTTCCACCACGTTCTGTTAGCAAACGCTGTTTATCTCCCTGGCGTCCCCACTGGACCAGAAACAGGCGGCAAATCAGAGGGCGGAGACAGAGAGGGAGGATCAAGGCAGAGAAGGTGGAAGTGAAGCGTTCTCATGGGGGAAGATTAACATCCACTTTCTCTCTTCCCTCTGGTATTCTCCATACCTCAATGTCAGACTCAACCTGGCATGTGGACTTTGCATATTTTCCTCTGTTATGAGCTCCTCTTGTGTGAGCTGGACAGGCCCTGCTGTGTGTGGAGAAACTTCTGGAATCAGCGCTCTAATTGGAAACACTGACAGGCCATGAGCGGATGAGTTTAAGCTCTAAATATGGATTTAAAATGTTTGTTATGGATGATCAGTTCGCATGATGTCTGAGAGCCAAACTAAATCCAAATCCTTCTTTTCAAGACTTGTATTTGCTTCAGACATAATCTCTTTTCATGTGTTCTTATTCTGGGGATTTTTTTCTTCTTGCAATGCATAACTGATGATGAACAGAGAAGATCCTATTAGAGATACCGAAATGCTTCAAGATGGAAGGGCTGAGATAAAACCGGCTGTTTCTTTTTGATCAGACTCCAGATTTGCTGGTGTCTTGCGGGGTTGGTTCTTTTCATCAGGGGCTTTTCTCTTATTCCTCCCCACCCGTCTCCCCTATCTCTTCCCTCTCCTTCTCCTTCTGAAGTAGAGTCATCAATCTCATGGTCCAGTAGAATCCATCTCATCATGGCTGCTTTTCCACACCTCCTCCCTCTCCATCACTCCCTCCTTCTCCACTTCAGCGGGTGCTTGATCCATTTTTATGTGTCTCACTGCCTCCACCTCCCTCATTTGTTTTTATCTCACTCTCTATCCTTCTTATTTTGTCTTACTTCAAGTTTCTTTTTCAATTTCAAACCCCATGTTGCCTTCACTTTCCTCCGTGTCATTTCCTCATCACAGCTTGCCTTTAACTTATTGACAGTTTCTCTCACCATCACTCAATCTCCACTTCTCCTCTCTACGGCAAAATCACTAAATCATCATATTCATTCCTTTACCTCGCTTACCCTCATCCCTCTTCCTGTGTGCAGATCAGCTTGCTTCACCTCCGCTGTATCCTGAGGAGGTTCAATTGGTCTTATAATCCTACAGAACTACTGCCCGCTCACTTTCTCTGTAGCCTCGGATAACCTACATCCTGGTTTGGCCATGCACCTCACGAAACCTGTAGACCTAACTTCCTCTCCGAGCAAATTGAAAAGTTTGGCAGTTTCCTCTCACGCTGTCGTGTCATCAGCGGGGTTTATCTCTCAAGAACAGCTGAGCATGGGATCATATTTTTTTAATTAGCATCGAGTAATGTTCATTTAGAAGAAACACATTAAGCATGGCTGAAGCAGACCACACATCGTGCTTATTCAGTCAAAAATGACTTGGAACAGTATGTTGTCTGCGTTAACATGATTAAACTCAACTGTACCAGAGGCAACAACGCACCATATGGATCTTGTGGGTGTTTCTACATTAATATAACATAATGTCAATGTGTACCTATGAATCTGTTGTCAAAACAATCCAGTGAGGGTTGGGGTTAGTACAGTAAAAATGGTTTAAAACACATACATAGCTTTAAGGTACATATTGAATCAGATAATGCCTTACTTTCATATTTAGACATACCATTTATTACAAAAATATGTCTTAATTCAACTGGTGGAGTTTTATTGTGACCCATTAGTTTAACACTTGTAGTATCTTCTCTTAGTGTCATGCAGAAAATGATTTAATTACTCCTACTGGAGGTCATAATAATAACTACCCTGCTGATAAAAAGGCAGTAAGACACGCTGATTAAATGATAACTCCTAAATACCATATTGCAGTCAAATAAGGCATTGGCGTGTGAAAAAAACCCCATAAAAGCACAATTATAACAATTATGATTAACACCCATTCACAGAGTTTAATGCTAATAATCTGAACTGGTTGTCATGACAGCACAGTGGTAGGACATAAGGGGAGAAATGCAGTCTGCTGTACGCTGGCTCCAACTGCTAAAGTGTTTTGAATGTAACACCCCCCCCCCTCCTGGGAAGTCAATTTAGCAGCCTTCATACTGTGCTGCTCCATTACCCCCCCCACACGGATCCCAGACTCTTTGTGAACACTGCTTTGTGTGGAGGAGGGCTGCTCTTATAATACTTCTGGTCAAACATTTATACACTTCCTGAAAGGTCACTGAAGCCTGAGAGCAAGCCAACAGGAAATGAGCCCACGGATGAGTAAAGAGAACTTGGTAAAGCATAGGAGGCGGAGCCAGGGAGAGTTGCTCAGTGCTTAATGAATTTTAAGGCCCCGGCTCCACGAGGACAAATACGGCAAAACGCATCGGAGTAACGCAAATGCAACTGCAAAAAACCTTCCGTCCCCACGCAATATACACCGGATTGTGTCAAGCTCCACGAGACGGCTCCGTTTACATCCAACCGCTGGAAAAGCTGCAGTACATATGCCGAACCTGTACGTGGCGCTGTAACTTCCTCCACAAAAGCAGCAACTTCCTCCACAAAAGCAGCGAAGAAGAATGGTTGTCATGGCTGCACTTCTGTGTATTCTCCGCGGTGGGGGCGGAGGGAACCGGGCAGAGTTTTTCGCCGGTCAGCGTGTGTTAAAGTTTAAATCTTCCGGACAAAATTATAAAAGTGCCGGTCAAAGGTCTTCATTGTTATTTATTGAGCTTTAAAACAAATGAATAACGACGATATAATGATATATAATCGTCAAATACATCTCTTTGTCCTCTCTTCTGACAGCGTCAGTGTCTGTCTCATGCAGCAGCTGATCCTGTAATGAGTGACCCGACAGTAAAAATGAACATATTTATAACTAGTTGAGGTAGTTTGAGAGGTAATTAAAATAGCTAAGGGTGATGATCTGACTTGAAGTGTGTGTTTTGCTCCCGCTGCATCACAGCGGCAGGAGCTGCGTGTCTCCGTCCTGTCAGATTAGACTTCACTCGCGTTTATGTCCATATCGAGATAAAGATAAATAATCTGAATTCAAGGAGGAGCTCCTGTAGATGTTGCACAAAGAACTGTAGCATGGTCAGTAGCGACTGGAGCACGATAGCAACCCCGCGGGGGAGAGGCGGGGCTATGAAAACGAATGACCGTATAGGCGACTCCACGGCCCCGTTGGACCCCCCAGAGCGCTCAGTTCCCAGATCTATCCACCTTTGGACCCGTTGTCGTTTGCGGGGTCTGTTTCTACGTTTCCCTTACGGCGTCGTGGAGCTTAGAGGGCTATACGCATGAGAAATATGCGGATTCAACCAGTTTCCGTCCTCGTGGAGCCGGGGCCTAAATGGGCTGACTAGGTGAAGAGAAACTTGGATCATTCAGGGGCCCTGTCTAATACTGATGGACATAAAATCTATTTAATATGTAACAGTTTTCAAAATGATTCATCATCATTCCAAATCGAAATTGCCAACCTTTAGTGACTCTTAAATGTGAGGACATTCTGCTTTTTTGTCATATGGCACTGCAAACTGCATATCTTTGGGGATTGGACTGTTGATCAGACAAAAAAAGCAATTTTAAGACATCACCTTGGGCTTTGTGATGAGAAATTGTGCTGGGTATTTTCATTACTTCTGACGTGTTATTGACAAAATGATGAATCGGTTATGAAGGTACTCGGCAGCTAACCGTCGCACTTCCATACATTTGGGAGATTTGCAACAGACATATTAAAATCTAAATTAACTTTCGCAAGTAGTCAAAGTTAAAAGATACTGAACTTTTGGATTTCACTGCATGTAGCTCGAACCAACAAAATGATCCCTTCTGAATATTGATAGTCAGCTAGATAACTTCTCTACAGTTGGTGTTGAACTACAAAATAAACGCAGATTTCACATTCGTTCGCAACATATTAACTGACCTTTTTTATCCTGTATAACAAAATGTGACACGTTTTTTTTTTTGTAGAACTTTTCAAAGAAGTGAGCGGTACACAAGTTTTAATCTATTCATAAAAACACAACGGCAGCGCAGAGTAGCTTTACGCCTAACATTATACCGCTTTTGTCTTGATTCAGTATTATTTACTCAACAATTGGTGTTGTGGAAAAGCAGCACCTTGTTATCACACTTTCCAAATCAATAACAGAATTGATTAGAACGCAGTATTTCTGCTTGTTTGACACACTCTTACAATCATGTGCACAATCAAACGACCTCCAAAAGATGGCGCGTTCGCTGAAAAGGCTACAGAGATGTGGGAGTTTCAGTGTCGTTTAACGCTGCACCACATAATTGATTGCAGTCATCAGTGCAGCGTGGAGTGACCTTGCTCGCGGGGGGGGGGGGTGGATGACTGTGTGTGTGAGTCAGCGATGAAGGCTTGGAGGAAAACAACACAAAGCAGGGTGGTTTAATAGACTGTGATGTCTGCTGTCTCTGCTGCATCGGAGGAACATGAGCGTGGAGGGCAGACGCATCTGAAGGTAAATAAATCATATTCTCACCGTGGACGTGTTACATTCCCCCCCGCGCCTGTTTTAATATTACACACTTAATGATTGGCGGAGGGGAACAGGAAGCAGCCTCCACTACTCGCTGCTGATTTAAGCAAAGCTGTCAGGACGTTTTGTGTAGAGCAT